GGCACCTCTGGGGGCCCCCGAGACCCTCCTGGGCACCTCCGGGTGCCCCTGAGCATCTCCTGGGCACCCTTGGGGTCCCACCTGGACACCCTTGGGTCCCCTTGGTCCCCCTTCCAGCAGCTTTGGGGCCTCTCGAGCCGCCACGGGCACCTCCGTGTCCCCTTGTGTCCCCCTGCACCCGCCGGTGTCCCCAGGGCAGGGGCCGGGCATGGGGGCGCCCCTGGGGAAACCCGTCGGAACCCGAGTGCCACCCGCCGCCCTGTCCCCAAGTGCCCCCGGCTCCCGCCGGGCTGTCCCTGTCCCCGAGTGACCCCGGCTCCTGGCCGACTGTCCCTAGCGGTGGCTCTTGGTCTCTGTCCCCAAGTGACCCCCGGGCCTGACCGAGTTCCACTGTCCCCAAGTGACCCCAGCTGCTGTCTGGGTGTCCCTGTCCCCAAGTGACCCCAGCTCCTGTCCGGGTGTCCCTGTCCTGGGTGACACCCCCCAGGATGTCCCCATGCCCCTCCCCGTCCCGTGCCATCTTATGGTGGCAGCTGGTGCCACCTGCTGACGCATCTCCTGCATGACACCCTGTCTGCTCCGGTCACCCCGGAGCGTCACCCAGGGGTGTCGCCAGTGACAGAAGAGTGACCCGTGGGTGTCCCCCGTCACCTGTGGGTGTTCCCATCATCCGTGGGTGTCCCCTGTCACCCGTGGGCATCCCTGTCACTGTGGCTTCTTCATCACCCTTGGGTGTCTGGTGTCACCCCTGGGTATCCCCGTGTCCCCACAGTGTGGACCGCAAGGGGCAGTGCCACTGTGTGACATGGCTTGCGGGTGTCATTGTCACCCGTGGGTGTCACTGTCCCCGTGTCCCCGCAGTGTGGACCGCAAGGGGCAGTACCACTGTGTGACACCGCTCGTGGGCGTCACTGTCACCCGTGGGTGTCACTGTCCCCGTGTCCCCGCAGTGTGGACCGCAAGGGGCAGTACCACTGTGTGACATGGCTCACAGGTGTCATTGTCACCCGTGGGTGTCACTGTCCCCGTGTCCCCGCAGTGTGGACCGCAAGGGGCAGTACCACTGTGTGACACCACCCGTGGGCGTCACTGTCACCCGTGGGTGTCACTGTCCCCGTGTCCCCGCAGTGTGGACCGCAAGGGGCAGTACCACTGTGTGACATGGCTCACAGGTGTCATTGTCACCCGTGGGTGTCACTGTCCCCGTGTCCCCGCAGTGTGGACCGCAAGGGGCAGTACCACTGTGTGACACCACCCGTGGGCGTCACTGTCACCCGTGGGTGTCACTGTCCCCGTGTCCCCGCAGTGTGGACCGCAAGGGGCAGTACCACTGTGTGACAT